TCTCTTTCTATCAGTCTGACGGCAATAAGCCAGGGCAGAACGGAGTAGAACGTCGCTACTACTACCCCTCTACTATATTACTACGCTTACGTTTACCGCCCGCCCGATCGTCCGTACGCCTACGACACCCCGCGCGCACGTGTACGGCTCGATTCTCCTACGCAACCGATTAATGAACGCGTCACGAAGAGGTTGCGAGGTCTGTGCCCACAATGCCCCGCACTCAATCTCCGACCCCTGACCTCCGACTCTCGACGAGAAGGTAAAGTCAATCCCTTGCGTGATTTAGAACAGGAGATTCGAATGATCCCCTGTCTGAAGATTGACCACCAGAGATATCTCGACGCTAAATTATTTTATTCTTTTTTTTTTTTTTTTTTTTTTGAGAGGACAAATGGAGCATTATTCCCGTCGCGCTTAACTTTACCGTTCTCGCAGTTACTATAAGCAGTGGCCAATTAGTCCGTTCTCTCCGTAGGGATATCGCTAGCCGCTTTGCTCTTACAAATACAAGCGCTACCCACACCACCATCATCATCGGAGTCGTTCTATTAGTATGCATAACCGATCTTTTTTTTTTTCTTTTGCGCGTATCTTACTTCGGACCCTCGCGTGGCCCGAATAACGAGAAACAGGGGAATGATTCGAATCTTTGAGAAGCTCCCCATTGGAAAATTTTATTAAAAGATCTAACCCAAAGATGAAACATTAAGTACAATTAAATATTAAAGAAATTCAATTTAGTTTCGAATGTAGACTCCAATTTCAATTACTAAAAAATTCACTCTGTCGAAGACGGTAGCCCCGATCGGGGGTAACATGTATAGGAGCAATTCAAATATATCATTATCTGAAATACTTCTTTTACGACGACGATTGGTAACGCTATCGGTTTTCAAACATAACGATTGCTTTAACGCCGCTCGCTTAATGAATAATTTGCGTAATATGCGGCGGGATGTTGCGAGATTCTATGTATACCGCGGAGTGTATCGATCATACGTCGCAATTATCCGATATCCAACGCACGCGCGCCGAAGCGAGAGATCTTGGTTTCCTATACTTGTCGTAAAATATAGATCAAGTGCCTCTTCACATTAAAGACAAGACAAATCGACGTAACGTTAACCTGCAACATTTACCGCATTCTGGGAAAATCTTTGCGATTCATCGCCGGCGCGTACCTTTTAATGCCATAGATATTTATACGTTATTTATGTGGCCGGATATACTAAATAACCGAATGACTCTACGGGTCTATATAACGTGGAATGGAAAAGGTCAAAGGATACCCCGAGATAACGGAACGCGTCTCTGTCCTTGAAAAGACCGAAGCCGTTCTAGTTGCAACGACGGCGCCGCGGCTGCTTTCTAAAGTTTTAAAGCGTGAGCCTGTATCTAACCCTGCAAATTACCATAATCGGGTTTGCAGCATCGATTATGCGAATTGTGGCCGAAGCTTCGTTCACGCTATGTTCGAATTCGTGCTTGCAGGTACGCGTCCCACTGAATTTAAACTAGATTCGTGCTAAATTAAGAATTTACAACGGCAAAGTAAACCGCGCGCGCATGAGGTACGAAATGCGAAAAAAAAATATCGATTTACGCTCGCGTAATATTTCGCGAACGGGATATATTCTAGCGGATTTCATCGGGCGAGATAAGTGATTGGGATAAAACCGTGAAATCCGGCGGAATTCAAATGTGGAAAAGAGAGTCGGACAGGTTCAAGGTTCACTGTATATGTCGAGAAAGTATATATAACCTTTGGACATTTGACCTCCGCTCCTGGGGGTATATAGCGGAAATGTGTCGATGAAGGGCACTCGATGATGAAATCGGAAACTATGTCAAGTGTCTTTGACGAGAGAGAGAGAGAGAGAGAGAGAGAGAGCGCGGCGAGATATAACTTTATAATGTCCGTCAATGTAGGCATGTGCAGCAGACGGTTTAATGAATACAACGGGACGTGACAGGGATGTGAAAATGCGTGCCACCCCCGTCGTGCTTCCGTTATTGAAAAATCCAGCGCGAAGCG